CCATCACCCCCCCAGACAGGAGCGGCGGGTTTTGCAGACCGCCTGACCCGTGCTCTGTCACTCCGGCTTTTAGCGTTTAAACACATCGGAGCCGTTTGTGCCCAGAGGAACAGCGTCACCGCGAAGGTGCCTGCAGGTGCGGCACAGAGACGTCCCACAGCGCGTAGCCAACCCGCATCTGACAGCCCCACGATCTCTGCACCTGCCCGGCCCGACCCACGGCTGCAGCTCACGCGTGACAGACCGCGCACCCGTCTGAGCGCAAACGCCGGGAGAGCTTTGTCTAACGAAGTGGTTGTAGCAAGGCAGCGCTGCGCCGCCGGAGGGAGGGACGGAGTGCGTCAGGCCGTGACACAACGAACCCATCTGACGGCAGGTAGAGCTGGGCCATGCCGGCCCCACGGGAGCACACCGGAACTGGAAATGGGTTTGATCACTCGAAGGAAAACCCCCGTCAGAGCAATTAGACTGGTTGGAGCGAGTCCAGAGGAGGCCCTGAAGGTGCTCCGAGGGCTGGAGCCCCTCTGCTATGGGGACAGGCTGAGAGAGTTGGGCTTGTTCAGCCTGGAGAAGAGAAGGCTCCGGGGAGACCTTATAGCACCTTCCAGTGCCTGAAGGGGCTACAAGGAAGCTGGGGGGGACTTTTTACAAGGGGCTGTAGTGACAGGACAAGGGGTAACGGGTTTAAATTGAAAGTGGGGAGGTTTAGATTAGATATCAGGAAGAAGTTCTTCCTGGAGAGGGTGGTGAGGCACTGGGACAGGTTGCCCAGAGAAGCTGTGGATGCCCCATCCCTGGAAGTGTGCAAGGCCAGGCTGGATGAGGCTTGGAGCAACCTGGTCTAGTGGAGGGGGTCCCTGCCCATGGCAGGGGGGTTGGAACTGGATGATCTTTAAGGTCCCTTCCAACCCAAACCATTCTATGGTTCTACGATTCTATGAATTTGGTCAGCATTGCTGAAGGTACCAGGTAAGTAGCCCTGCGTTCATGCTGGGAGCTTCACTCGTTACCAGCTCGCCGTGCACGGTTCTCATTCCTTTTTAGTGTAAAGTATTTCTAAGGCCAGTTACCCAGATTGTCTCCCCTGCAAAGGGGTTTAATACTCGTCTCTCCCCAGAGACAGAAAAGCAGGCAGGGCAAACCTGCAGCCAGCTCCTCCTCCTTGCCAGCAGCTTCGACTAGGAAGGCAAGAGGTACTTACCTTAGGTTTGAAGCCAATAATTCTGTTGAGCTTGACGAGGATGCATGGTTTGCCATCCTTGTACCCAAAGGTGGGATCGTTTATTCCAGAACAGTTTTCCAGCCATTCACGTTTGAACCTGCAGACCCTCTTCTGGCCCTGGATATCATTGTACAGTCCCCTCTCTTTGTACTCAGCAGGTGTGTCTGTCACGGGAGACACAAAAAGACAACCGTGTGCAAGGCGGCCCTTTCCTTGGCAGGGCCGGCAACATGCCCAGCAGCATCTTCGCTGCCTAGTTGGGACATCCCCCCTCCAAACTGGCAAGTGACACCACAGCCCTGCACCCCCCCGCCACCGCCCCCCACACGCAGGCTGGGCCCTG